CATCTGAATGTCTGTATGACAACGTTGCATTTCTAAAGGTCATGGTTAGGCTTTGTGGAATTTGTTTCGGCGGATAGCCGAGACTGTTTATTCTCTGGCGTTGGCGTTTTATGTTTCAGCGGTGGCGTATTGGAGCAACTGGTCAATTAGTTGGAAACTATTTTGACGTGTATGTCAAATTAACCTGTCAATCACCGAGTATTCTATGTGAACAGTCACAGGTGGGAGTTTGTTTGTATTGAATCGTGTACGTACACACATTCAGGCTCATTTTCGAAACCTGACACATTCCCAGAGTTCAAGAATACTAGTAATCAAAATATGAAAACCACAACGTCAAGGAAAGCGACACAAACACATGCAACGGCAAGTTGGGAAGGGGAGCGGTGAGGGGAGCGGGAAGGGGAGCGGTGAGGGGAGCGGGAAGGGGAGCGGTGAGGGGAGCGGGAATGGGAGCGGTGAGGGGAGCGGGAAGGGGAGCGGTGAGGGGAGCGGTGAGGGGAGCGGGGAGAGGAGCAGGGAGGGGAGCGGGAAGGGGAGCGGGGAGGGGAGCGGAGAGGGGAGCGGGAAGGGGAGCGGTGAGGGGAGCGGGAAGGGGAGCGGGAAGGGGAGCGGTGAGGGGAGCGGGAAGGGGAGCGGTGAGGGGAGCGGGGAGAGGAGCAGGGAGGGGAGCGGGAAGGGGAGCGGGGAGGGGAGCGGGAAGGGGAGCGGGGAGGGGAGCGGTGAGGGGAGCGGGGAGAGGAGCAGGGAGGGGAGCGGGAAGGGGAGCGGGGAGGGGAGCGGAGAGGGGAGCGGGAAGGGGAGCGGTGAGGGGAGCGGGAAGGGGAGCGGGAAGGGGAGCGGTGAGGGGAGCGGGAAGGGGAGCGGGGAGAGGAGCAGGGAGGGGAGCGGTGAGGGGAGCGGGAATGGGAGCGGTGAGGGGAGCGGGAAGGGGAGCGGGGAGAGGAGCGGTGAGAGGAGCGGGAAGGGGAGCGGGGAGAGGAGCAGGGAGGGGAGCGGGAATGGGAGCGGTGAGGGGAGCGGTGAGGGGAGCGGTGAGGGGAGCGGGAATGGGAGCGGTGAGGGGAGCGGGAAGGGGAGCGGTGAGGGGAGCGGTGAGGGGAGCGGTGAGGGGAGCGGGAATGGGAGCGGTGAGGGGAGCGGGAAGGGGAGCGGTGAGGGGAGCGGGAAGGGGAGCGGTGAGGGGAGCGGTGAGGGGAGCGGTGAGGGGAGCGGGAATGGGAGCGGTGAGGGGAGCGGGAAGGGGAGCGGTGAGGGGAGCGGGTTGAGGAGCGGGAAGGGGAGCGGGGAGAGGAGCAGGGAGGGGAGCGGGAATGGGAGCGGGAAGGGGAGCGGTGAGGGGAGCGGGAAGGGGAGCGGGAAGGGGAGCGGTGAGGGGAGCGGGAAGGGGAGCGGTGAGGGGAGCGGGGAGGGGAGCGGTGAGGGGAGCGGGGAGGGGAGCGGGAATGGGAGCGGTGAGGGGAGCGGGAAGGGGAGCGGTGAGGGGAGCGGGAAGGGGAGCGGGGAGAGGAGCAGGGAGGGGAGCGGTGAGGGGAGCGGGAATGGGAGCGGTGAGGGGAGCGGGAAGGGGAGCGGTGAGGGGAGCGGTGAGGGGAGCGGTGAGGGGAGCGGGAATGGGAGCGGTGAGGGGAGCGGGAAGGGGAGCGGTGAGGGGAGCGGGGAGAGGAGCGGGAAGGGGAGCGGGGAGAGGAGCAGGGAGGGGAGCGGGAATGGGAGCGGGAAGGGGAGCGGTGAGGGGAGCGGGAAGGGGAGCGGGAAGGGGAGCGGTGAGGGGAGCGGGAAGGGGAGCGGGAAGGGGAGCGGGGAGGGGAGCGGGAATGGGAGCGGTGAGGGGAGCGGGAAGGGGAGCGGTGAGGGGAGCGGGAAGGGGAGCGGGGAGAGGAGCAGGGAGGGGAGCGGTGAGGGGAGCGGGAATGGGAGCGGTGAGGGGAGCGGGAAGGGGAGCGGTGAGGGGAGCGGTGAGGGGAGCGGGGAGAGGAGCAGGGAGGGGAGCGGGAAGGGGAGCGGTGAGGGGAGCGGGAAGGGGAGCGGGGAGAGGAGCAGGGAGGGGAGCGGGGAGAGGAGCGGTGAGGGGAGCGGGAAGGGGAGCGGGGAGAGGAGCAGGGAGGGGAGCGGGAAGGGGAGCGGGGAGAGGAGCAGGGAGGGGAGCGGTGAGGGGAGCGGGAAGGGGAGCGGTGAGGGGAGCGGGAAGGGGAGCGGTGAGGGGAGCGGGAATGGGAGCGGTGAGGGGAGCGGGAAGGGGAGCGGTGAGGGGAGCGGGGAGAGGAGCGGGAAGGGGAGCGGGGAGAGGAGCAGGGAGGGGAGCGGGAATGGGAGCGGTGAGGGGAGCGGGAAGGGGAGCGGTGAGGGGAGCGGGAAGGGGAGCGGGAAGGGGAGCGGGGAGGGGAGCGGGAATGGGAGCGGTGAGGGGAGCGGGAAGGGGAGCGGTGAGGGGAGCGGAAAGGGGAGCGGGGAGAGGAGCAGGGAGGGGAGCGGGAAGGGGAGCGGGAAGGGGAGCGGTGAGGGGAGCGGGAATGGGAGCGGTGAGGGGAGCGGGAAGGGGAGCGGTGAGGGGAGCGGGGAGGGGAGCGGGAAGGGGAGCGGGGAGGGGAGCGGGAAGGGGAGCGGGGAGAGGAGCAGGGAGGGGAGCGGGAAGGGGAGCGGGGAGGGGAGCGGAGAGGGGAGCGGGAAGGGGAGCGGGGAGCGGGGAGGGGAGCGGGGAGAGGAGCGGGGAGGGGAGCGGGAAGGGGAGCGGGGAGGGGAGCGGGAAGGGGAGCGGGAAGGGGAGCGGGGAGGGGAGCGGGGAGGGGAGCGGGGAGAGGAGCGGTGAGGGGAGCGGTGAGGGGAGCGGGAAGGGGAGCGGGGAGGGGAGCGGGAAGGGGAGCGGGAAGGGGAGCGGTGAGGGGAGCGGGAAGGGGAGCGGGGAGAGGAGCAGGGAGGGGAGCGGGGAGGGGAGCGGGAAGGGGAGCGAGGAGGGGAGCACTGAGGGGAGCGAGGAGGGGAGCACTGAGGGGATCGGGGAGGAGAGCGGGAAGGGGATAGGGTGGGGAGCGGGAGGGGAGCGGGGAGGGGAGCGGGGAGGAGAGCGGGAAGGGGATAGGGTGGGGAGCGGGAGGGGAGCGGGGAAGGGAGCGGGAGGAGAGCGGGGAGGGGAGCGGGAGGAGAGCGGGAAGCGAAAAGGGGTTGGGAGCGGGGAGGGTAGCACTGAGGGGATCGGGGAGGAGAGCGGAAAGGGGACCGGGAGGAGAGCGGGAAGGGTAGCGAGGAGGGGATCGGGGAGGAGAGCGGTGAGGGGAGCGGGTTAGGGGAGCGGGAAGGTGAGCGGAAAGGGGAACGTGGGGAGAGCGGGAAGGGGAGCGGGGAGCTGAGCGGGGAGGGGAGCACGGAGGTGAGCAAGCGGGAAGGGGATCGGGGAGGACAGCGGGGAGGGGAGCGGGGAGGGGAGCAGTTGAGGGTTTAATACATTTATGTTAGGTCATACAGAATATATCTAATGGTCGCTCTCTTCATTATTACAATATAATTTTATTATATATTTATCTTAACGTCTATGTTATAATGGACGGCTCTTCTTCTCGATGCTCCTATTCGGTGCCAGTCTCCAAAGCAGCATTAAGCCCTAGTGCTGATAAATAATTTATGAATGAATGATTAATGACTCCCAACAATTGCTTCCTACAAATGAAAGAGGGTTGTCACGTAATACCCGCACACTTGCTTCTCCGTTTGTTACACCCCAAAATAATCTTGATCATCGGTTTTTTTTCTTTTGACTGAGATTAGACGATTGTTTGAAGTCGATCCAGTTATCCGCAAAGGGGGAATCCCGATTTCATATCTTCCCTGACATACAGAACAGTGAGTGAGTGAGTGAGTGAGTGAGTGAGTGAGTGAGTGAGTGAGTGACCTCCCAAGTCAAGGTGACACGCCGTTGCATTTGGCATTTGGCATTGTCTCGCAATACCGATTGTCATATCTCTCCCATTATTGAATGCAATCGTTCGGCCAGCTCATCTGCGTAGACAAGCTACATCCATGGGCACTTCCTTCCCTCTCAAATATAACGTCGTCCAACTTACGACGTCATCAAGCTGCGAGCGCGTGTTCAAATCTCCAGAAATGACGTCATGATAAAACATCTTTATCTTTAATGAACCACGCTTCGTTTTTCATTGTTCTTTGCGATTTATCGCGTAGGTATCGTATATCGTGCCATAAAAATGGTATTATGTCGACTACATTCAACTTCCTTTTCTCATAACCAGTTAGCTCGTCTCGGTCACAATAAAATACATTTGTGCAGCGTAATATTTATTTCTTTATTTTATTTGGACTGAAGTGCAATGGCCTGTAAAATCTCACACTTTAACGCGAAAGGGGAAGGTGATTTAAGCACGTGCTCTGTCACCGGACAAATAAACCGACAGACAAATGAAACACTTGAAAAGATTTAACCAAAAAACTATAAACGTCATCCAAACGTTACGTATACTAGGCAGAAAACAGTCGTCAAAACACTACAAACATAAGTTCCAAATCACCGACCCGTGAAGATTCCGGGGTAGAATAGGTCTTCAGCAACCCATGCTTGCCGTAAAAGGCGACTATGCCTGTCTAACGGGATCGGGTGGTCAGGCTCGCTGACTTGGTTGATACATGTCATCGATCCCAATTGCGTGGATCGATGCTCATGATATTAATCACTGAATTGTCTGGTCCAGACTCGATTATTTACAGACCGCCGTCATATAGCTGGAATATTGCTAAGTGCGGCGTTAAACAACAAACAAACAAACAAATCCAAATCACTACTCTGATGCCCATATCAAACACATCACTATCGAATGACCATTTCCTGTTTGTTTCATTTTTGCCACCATCAAAAACATGGGTATATAGTTTCTTTTGACCGACGGTCAAGTTGGACAAGAGTTCACATTCTGATTATGGATTTCGTCTCCTGTTGGTTTAATCCGGAAACCGAAAATAATGTGTGACCAAAGGGACTGGATCTCGCCAAGCTTGTGGTCGGGTGTAAGACATGTGGCGAGGCAGAACGTCTACTGTCTTTGATGTAATCCTTCTCGTGAAGACGCGCTAAACACCCCCGTGGCACAGCACGTTCGGGAGTCTTCCCTTCCGTCCTGCAGTCGTCCCTCCCCGCTACCGTACTACAGAATTAGATCTATACCGTTCAGTGCTCCAGGCACCACGGTCTTCATTGTATTCCGATCGATATCCGTGCATCGGGATGCTTGTAGCCTGCAACCAAGCTCCGCACACAGTTCGGTACTGACTCAACGGAGAATAGGTGGTTGAAGCAGTGCGTCGAGCTTGTTGGTCTATTCCTTGCTTGGAACCTGGGGTATATTTCTGTATGTAATGAACAGGGGATACCGCGGTTGAGACGATGATGGCTGCAACGATGGAGAGGAATGTGTTTGTGTTTTTTCTGATTGTCGGAGCAGTGACATGCGTGAGAGAAGGTAAGAATCGGCCATTATTGTAAAGGAAGTCAATGTCATTGATTTGAAATATGATAAACAAGAGGTAATATTGTGGACATTTGTTGTCATTCTCTATTACTGACGTGAACGTTTGATTGACATCAGATTAATTTACAGCTCTAACGCTGTGCAATGGAAAATTTCGTAACAAGACAATTTTAATAGTTGTGCGTGGAAAGACATTCGCTGGCCAACATTCAACAGATGCAGGAAGCTATTTACGTCAATAATACCTAAATGACGGGATGGTTTACCAACGCGTTTGACGTGTATTCTTTAAAAAATGAACACCTTTTGGCCCTGCGTTGATTTCATATGTACACAAACAACAAGTCAGCTTATCAGATCAAACAAGATGGGACCCATTTCCTGATTGGTTTATTGATGACCTTGACCTTTACGCTAAGGCTATTAGTAAGGTCGTGACAGGTCCACTTAATAGCTCCTGTTACGGGGAGAGAAGATGCATTTGTCACCTTAAGGAGATAATGCGAATTTAATAAGCACGAAGATATGCTAAACACCATGAAATTGATTGCTGAATTGCGCGTGTGTGTTATTCAACTCGCACTGAAAACCACTGTTGAGAGATGGGTTAAGTGTAAACATAGAAAATCGATGTGCTTTATATGCAAATGAAAGTTTCGACCGGCTTCAATGAGTATCTCTATTGACAACCAACGTGGTGAGATAGACGTGTTCTGTCATGGATAGTGGACATGTTGGATGCGGATTGTTAGGCTTGGGAATAGATCATGCACTGTCGTGATAGCTTAGTCTGCTTTCTGTTCCTTTCTTAACTGATGTCGCTGTGGCGTGTATCTATTTGTGCTCAATATCCCTGTCATTTTGAAACATCTCCAGAAATGTTTCTCGAAGGATTAATATTATATTGAACCATGGCAGACTGATCAAATAAGGCCAGACAGACAGTCTGTGGTCAATGTCCCCATCAACAGATGACACTGCTGTATCGGCAATGTTTCAACCTTTGCCAGACAAGCAATATAGTTGGTTTTGTGTTTTGTTCTTTATCGCCGCGATCAGAATATTCCAACTATATGACGGCGGTCTGTAAAAAATCCGGGGCAGCTGGGTAGCCTTGTGATTAAAGCGTTCGCTCGTCACGCCGAAGACCCGGGCTCGATTCCCACATGGGTACAATGTGTGAAGCCCATTTCTGGTGTCCCCCGCCGTATTATTGCTGGAATATTTCCAAAATGGCGAAAAGCCACACTCACTCACTCTATGATGTAAACATATAAAGAATTATAGAGTATTATCATGACGGGTGCCACCCGCGGGGCAGGATACACTCACCTTGTTTGCGAAAACCTGGTGTCATCACTATTTGATAGTGATTCATAAACGCATGCTATGGTCGTTATCGTACAATTGACTCTGCTTTTGGCAGTTATTTCTTATGATTATGGAAAATGGCTTTCTCGACTTTATTTAGGGGGCATGGGTGGCTCAGTCGTCTAAGGCGCCGCGATTCGCTGTGCAGAGTTGCGTCCCTTGGGCACGCCAGAAACCTATGATTGTGGGTTCGAATCCCGGTTCGCCCCGATTATGTTTCTAGGTTTGTCAGCACCATACCCGTGCTCGTGGGTTTCACCGAAGTGGTAAACGTCTGAGACCTGCATCACTTCGGGCTTTCCTCCCACATTAAGCTGACACGCCGTGATATCACTGGAATATTGTTAAAAGCGGCGTTAAACCCAACTCACTCACTCACGCACTCGATTTTATTTATATTATATTAGTTTTATAAACGTGAACAGCGACGTGGTTAATCTGGACCCCTGTGTCATTACTGCGGGACAAGTCTACATATACAAAGATGTACATCACTTCGAATCAACGATACGTTTATCTGGAGTATTAAACGACGACTTAATTAAGATTAACGGGATCGAAGTATATTCTGTTGTAACAAAAATATACCTCAGTTACAAAGCGTCTAATAGCTTCATCAATGATTTAATAGGTAAGATGGGGATTGAACAATTGGTCCCGAGCGGTGGAAGACACATTGAATAAGGCTAGCAGCTAGCGTGTCATTGTTCCCAGACAAACGTTGCTCATAATATCAATCATTAGTTTGAATGGATTCACCGTGTAGATCCGGGTAGAATAGGCCTTCAGCAACCCCTTCTTACCTTAAAAGGCGATCATGCTTGTCGTAACAGGCGACTAACGGGATTGGGGGGTCAGGCTCGCTGACCTGGTTGATGCATGTCATCGTATCCCAGTTGCGTGGACCAATGCTCATGATATCAATCACTGGGTGATTTAGTCCAGACTCGATTATTTACAGACCGCCGTCATATAGCTGGAATATTGCTTAGTGCGGCGTTTAACAAACAAACAAACAAACAACCCTGGCCGCCATTTTGTGTTTCCCAGTAATTTATCGTCAATAGTTACACCGTTGGTGTAATAATGTTGGTATATGTGCTCTGCAAGATATGCCCTTATTTTGTGTGATAGAATAGGAAATGTTCTTCGTTATGGCGATATGGATTTTTCCCCTCCAATCTTCATCGATAAATATGAGCCAGTCAGTGATATGACGTTGAAGACTGTTTAGAATATGTCAGCAAGTTTTTGAATAAGTAATGTGTTTTGTACGGAAAATCGATAATATTGTATTGTTGGGATCGTGATCGTTTCCCTTCATTGCTTAGCCGCTATTAAATTATGTATACAATGCTTGGCATATATCTGTTATATAGCATCTGTGCGCCAACGCGGCTTTCATATATGCGGCTGTCATATATTTACATATTTGTCAAGATCAAATTCATTTCTTTGAGTGGCATTTAGAAGTTGGAGTGATAAAGTAAGACGAGTTCTATGGATGAACAACTTCTTTATTACAATTGGTGCGACGTTTCGGTGTAGATCCTAACACCTTTATCAAGCAAGTGATGGATAGGGCTAAACAACATAGTTATATATACACTTATTGACATCTAGGTTGTTACAGTGACTAGTTCATGGGCACAGAGAGGTGATTAAGCTAATTGGAAGCCAGTGGATGACTGCTGAACACAGAGTATACTAGCAGAGTAAACAAGCTAACAGCCACCAGATCCGCAGACTGCTCAAACACCACGCCAACATTGATACAGTATTCCAGATAGGCAGGACAATCCAGAACATCCTCAGGGCCAATGGCAAGCCCCCTACATCTAAGAAAGAAGACCCAGCTGGAGCCGTATATCACATACAATGTGACTGTGGCGACTCTCATGTAGGAGAAACATCCAGGCCCCTACCCATTAGAATAAAAGAACACAAAAAATGACTCAAAATCAGCCATCTCCGACCACACCCAAACCCACCCCGATCACGATATCCAGTGGAACAACATCAAGATCCTGGCCAACAACCAATCAGACTACAAAATCAGGAAACTCCTAGAAGCCATCCACATCAAAAGGATCCAGCCAGCAATGAACAGAGACCAAGGCTATTACATCCCGCCTGCTTACCATCACCTAATTGCTCAATCCCTTTGTCCATCCAATTAATACAGTGGCTTCCATCATCTCCATCAGTTAGCTTGTTTACTCTGCTAGTATACTCTGTGTTCAGCAGTCATCCACTGGCTTCCAACTCGTCTTACTTTAACAAATTCATTATTTGTATATGCAATATATAAACAAAAATAAATTTTTATTCACGATAAATGAAAATGCTCATTGGTATATAGAAAGAAAAACCCCGTGAGGTCTAGCTGCATGAAGGTAATATGACGTTCAAGGCCATGTGATATGGTCCCAGTTTGATGATTATCGATTCTATAATCTGATATCGACATCCCGTCAGTCAGGAATCATGCATAACTCATTCATGCATGATTCCTAGGAAACTGTGTATATTTTACCAGAGTTTCTCCATGGCAGTATACTCTGTCTGAGCGGGATGTCCATGTTAAACTGCAGCATAGCTCAGTGGACTAGCACTATAAAGCCGGCATTAGTCCGGAGTAGTAGAACAAAATCATGTGACAACGATGTGGTGCAGGTGATCATAACGACAATATGACACACACCCCACATGCACAGACACACACGCACGCGCACACACACGCACGCACAAACATGCGCATACAGAGAGAAAGAGAGAGAGAGAGGGGGACACACACAGACATATATATACTCACAGACACGCACGCACGCACACAGATACTTACACATACATGTAGACAAACTAGACCAGTCCCCCCTCCCCCCCCCCCCCCCCTCCAAACACACACACAAACGTCGCCATGTAAGTGCACTAATCTTGAACGCGACGTTAGGCCCCATTTCACCCGCCCTCGCACATTGGCTATTGGATCCTGGTTCAATGGAATGGCTATTGTCGTCAAACTCATTACATTGAAACCTCACTAATCCGGACGGTTTTCGGTGAAATCGGACTACCAGATTGAAGAATCGCAAAGGCAGAGCGAGTCGGTTCTAAATGACGTTAACCCACGGGTATGGTGCTGACAAACCAAGAAACAAAACCAGTGCGGGTCCTGGATTCGAACCCGAGATCCTTGGACGGAAAAAGTACTCAACCTTCCACACTCAGTTGTGGCGCCCCCGATTCCTAGGCCGCATATATTATATAATACCAACACATCTACATAATACAAACTATCGACAATTTAAAATATTTTCGGAAATTGTAGGTCTAAATCCCTTTCTTCTTATACTCAGCTGAGACAGCAAAAATTGTTAACTGCATCTATACATCTATTTCGCCATGGCAAACAAAACATGTGCTAAATAAAATTTATACTGCTATATCAAATAAAGTAAAAGTTTTCTTTCAAGTTTTAATACAATTGAATAAATAGAAATAAAAGGAATGCAACATGAACGCATGTCACAGTTTGCGCTGAATTGAAAGAAAATATTCATATGCCAATAGTTGGGCGTCAAATCCCATTTAACCATGCCTTTAAGCCAGAAATTTGC